TTTGTTTGGTTGTTTGTTTTCTCTTTTCCCCTCTATGCATTTCCTATTTTACAATAGCTCTTCTTTTAGTTCTTCCTTCCTTCCTCCCTCCCTCTCTCCCTTCCTTCCTTCCTTCCTTCCTTCCTTCCTTCCTTCATTACTTCCTTCACTTTGTTATGTTTGTTACTTTTGCCTTGACGTTTTGAGTGGAAACCAGGTCTCACTAGCTATCCATAGATGACCTTGAATTTGCGGCAACCCCCCTTCCTCAACTGACTGAGTGCAAGGATTATGCATTAACATCTGTGGCTTAGTACTTCCTTTTTTTTAAAAAAAAAAAAAAAAGGACAATTAGAATTTTTCTCATTATATCTCATTATTTGGAAATAGCCTCCTGCTATAAAATATCTGAAAACTACAGCAAACTACGATTGATATTTCACACTCACATATAGACTCATTACACAGGAGACAGCTGCTTCTCTGGCACCAAGACTCACACTGAAAGGATTCCCTGGAGAAATTTTAATTCTTTGCAGTCTATTGTTTCAGGGTTTCTGATGCACCTGCTCCTGTTTTACATAATGTGTCTCTTCTATGAACAATCTTTATTTAGCAAATGCATTTAATATTAATTCGGAAAATATTATGCCCCACCCATTTTTCCCCTCCATACTCAGTGTCCAGAAGCCTTTGTTTCATTTTGTTTCTATTTAGTTAGTGTCCGTCCTTAAAGCCTTCCCTCATATGGGGTATACAGGCAGGAGTAGTGCCCAATATGTTGTTTTATCTTTCAGCATAGTGGCTTCATCTTAATCTACTGCTATTTCAGTCAGCAATTGCAACTCTCCAGTTACCAGGCTGCTTCTCTGGCAAGGACCCTGCTGCTCAGGCCACAGCCTGGTGGGAATTCTGTTCCCACAGGCACTGGCTCTGTCACTGCTGCTAAAGATAGCTTTAACTAAGTCTCTCTCTATCGTTCTATTTGTAAATAAAATTCAGGACTCAAAAGCTGGGGTGAAAACCTCCTAGCTCAGAGAGGTTGAGGAGTATCTATCTAACCTTCTCTCCTTGCTGGCATCTCCCAAAGAGCACATCCTTCCTCAGTCTCAGGGTTCACAGTGTGATCGAATATCCCCGACACAGGAAAGTTGCCAAATCTCTACATATGTGCAGATACTTCTCTCTTTCACCCCCACATGTAAAGTTCATGCACAGGCACAACATTCTTGGCTATCATCTGTCCATTGGAGGGAACTCAGTGCTGTGGCTGATTGGTTCCTTGTCAATCAGATACGAGTTCCTGTCTGAGTCACTTTATTCCTTCCTTTTGCCACAGGCCCATAAGAATTTCAATCCTTGATGCCCGGCTGCTTTACAGAGGGATCCAGGTATTTCTCTACCATCAAATGTGTTTTCAGCTCTTCCTAGATTTAGGTCTTTCCTAGATTGGATAGTTTTTTTTTTTCCTATTTCTTCAGACTTAGTTTATCCGCTTCTTATTTCTCCCAGTGCATTGATTAACTGGATATTCCCCATGCCCACCAGATTATTCTCCTTCTGTTTATGTGTGTTTATATGTGTGCACATATATATGGACATGCATGTATTCATGCACATGTGTATATAAATATAAATGCACATGAATTCTTTGACATACTTCTAGCACTTTGTCCTCAGGCTGCCAGCTTGAACCTGAACCATGGCTCTAGTGTCCTTGGGTTACTCATCTAAGTTAGTGCTCAAGTCCTAGTTTCCATCCCAACCACATCTCACCAACTTGGAGAACTCACACTGTAATATGGTCCAGGCTTCTGGCTTCTACACCATCAGGTGCCCACTATGTTTATGTCAGTCAACTTTCCATCCCTTGGATGCATACCTATAATTGTCAATTTATAAAGACCAGATATTTATTTTAACTCACAGTGTAGAAAAGTGGAAGCTATGGTCAGTTGGCTCTACTGTTTAGAAGCTTAAGGCAGATCAATACTACCGAGCTGTTGGACATACAACAAAAATAGAAAGGGGAAAGGATGTCTCCCACTCACAAAGGGACATCACAAAGATCTGAAGACCTCTCACTAGTCCCCACCTCCTCATGTACCCATCTCCTCCTGTAGGAGATCTGGACAGTAACACATGAGACTCTGGAGGACACTCAACACTCAAGCCATGGTGATGCTCAAACATCATGCCTTTTGTGTTGAATCCACTTGCATCTATTGATGCTTCTCTTTATCAAAATATTGGTAGCCTTTTCTTCTTTGCATTTGAAAAAGGTAAATTGGAAGGACTTACTCACAATGGTCCTCCATTGTGATAAGTGGAGAGCAGTTTCCCATCAGTTCCTTCCTCTCAGCTCCAGACCTGGGGTTGCTGCCTTGGTGCCTGTCTTGCCTCTTGAAGAACAAATATCTCTGGGTCATTTGAGTGGAGTGAAAAACACCCATCAGGTCCTTCCCCTGCCCCCAGACTCTAACTCTGCTGCTGTGGGAATGGATTTTCTGGAAAACACTATTTAAAACATCAACCTTTCACCCAACCCATAACCAAGTTAATAATACGCTTTGAGGTTATTTATAACTGTGTACTCATTCTGCTTACGTACTCCGTAGGCGACCTGTTCAGAGTTAACTGACTTCAAGAAAAACATTATAGTCATTCCCACTACACTGTGGACTTCCAATGTAATTAACTCCTATAGGCTCAGAGGAATGCACAGCCTAGGTTGTGCCATGTTGTTTACTTTTCCTTGGTGACCCATTCATGCCCCTGACTCAGAACAATGTATGTACATGTGAGCGAGATGTGGTGACTGGGTCTAAAAGCACTGGCTGGAAATAATGATGCATTGAAAGCAACACGTGCTCCACACAAAATATGGTGGGAGTGACATGTGGGTATAGAGTGATAAGACCTGAGTGTGGCTTTGTGTGCTGTTCTGAATCAGAAGGGCAGAAAAACAACACAGTGCCTTATGAGAATCCTGCAAAAGGATGATTGAGACAAAAGCTCCTCGTTCCTTTTCGTTACCACATTTACTGTGCTGTTTGTTGTATAAAGAGGATGGCTTTTGTCCAGGGTTGCTTTCACTTCGGGTTTTCCTAGACTGGACTCTTAAAGAAAAAATACTGGCCCACTATCTATAAGGATATTGCCAAGACACGAAGCAGGTTTTTGTGTGAAAGGGGAAAATACAACCTGAATCTATGTTGATTCAGGGTGAGGGGTGGGGTGTCGATCTGCCCCTTGCAGACAACACTTGCTTAAGTGGAACAGAGAGAGCCATGAGCTCCACAATGTCGATGTGCCCTCCTACAGTGAATGAAGCCTCTAGTTGCCTAGGCCCTCACTTAAAATTCACACTCCAAGGGGAATGGAGAGGAGGCTCAGTGGTTAAGAGCACTTGCTTCTCTTCCAGAGTCATGTTCAGTTCCCAGCACCTATGTCCAACAGCTCACAACCACCTGTTACTCCAGCTCCAGGACATCTGGGATCTCCAATTGGCTTCCACCAGCCCGTGTGCATGTAGCGCAGTGGCTCACACTCACACATACCCAAATAAACACAGATGATAAATTGTAAGAAAAAAAAATAGCCCCACATATCAAGAGCAGCAAACCAGCTGCTGTGGGTCACCCTCCCCCACTTCCCTTTCTTTTTAGGCCTTGTTAAAAGGCATTTGCATCTGTCAATTATGCATCTCCCCATACTGTCTGTTGGGATGATGTTGCTCCCAGGCTCTGGGGTACTGAGAACTTTGAGAGTCTGAGGTGAGCTCCACATTGGACAACCTTCACCTCTACTAACAGGCTGCAAGGCAAAGGGTGTCTTCCAGTACCCAGGGGATATGGACCTTTGGCTGCTGGCCAGCTGCAGTCTAGAGGTGCCAGACACCCCTTTGTGCTGTCAGCTGTCACACCAGTTCCTTGGAGTGTTAGGCTTTTAATCTTTGATCTTTCTCCTCCATAAGGAGGTTTTTCAGGAATCACTGCTTGGGTCCTCATTTGCATCCTTCTTTGCATCCTCATTTGCATCCTCATTTGACTCTCCATTTGCATCCTCATTTGCTTCTTCAACTCCTCCCAATCACCAAATCCTTTATAAATAATCATTGCCAACCACAGATTTTTATCAAGATAGGGTAAGCTTAATGGTGCACTTGGGGCCCATTAAGACCTAAGCCTTATTATCTAGCTGGCCCCTTTGAAGGTATTTGTGTTTGAGGTCCATACAAACAAACATGAAAAGTCAATAACAACAGACCAGTTCCTTTTTAAGATAAGAAGTGTCTATCTAAACCCAGAGGGAAAAAAAATACTATGATATTGCAGCATCATCTCCGGAGATAAAATCATGCCTGAACCCACCATCACTACAGTCTACCTGAAATAAATCTTACAAAGATTATGTGCTTTAGAGACTGAAGTATTTTGCATGTGTTATAAAATGTAAATATTTCTATAATATAACACCTATATTATATGTAATATAAGACATTTGTTCTGTTCAGTGAAATAGGTTTTAGACAAGATGAAGTCAACCCACAGTAGTTTTGATGATCTCTGCTGACATTATAGAAACCTTTCAAAGTAAGTATAGTCTGTATTCACAAGGAAGGAACTGGAGATCAGTGAGATTAAAAAGCACAGTTTGTAAATTAGAAAAGCAGTTGGTCTTTCTGGGCCAAACTGTAGCTATTGAATATTTTTCACTGCCTCTTTATGTGCAGATAGCTACAGCTTTAAAAGCAAAAGGGAAGGAAATGTGTATCCTGTTATTAAAATTATTATTACAGATTGCTGGATTGCACAGCAATAAGACAGAATGCCATCTACGCTCCTGTTTCTATTCTGGTCATGAAACTCAGAGAATTTCACACATCTGTGAATATCTGTCATCGAAGCACTTGCCTTTTACAAACTGAATACATAAAGTTTAAAAGGTTTATTTATACCAACTCCAAATGGCAAACATTTAGGTTTCTCTCTTCCTTTGTCTCTGAATATTCTTCCCAGGGTCAACGTCTCTTTGAGAAATTGCTCCAACTGACGTCACAAAATATTGAAATCAAGCTGGTGAGCGACGTGACCGCTGATTCAAAGGTATTAGAAGCCTTGAAATTAAAGGGTAAGGCCAAGGTTGATGCTACTTTACTGCGGACATTCTGTGACAATACCTTGAATTTCACTTAAAATAATAAATCGTTTCTTTCTCTTTAGTACATCCCATTTAATATGTTTTTAGTTCTCCTATGACCACCGCCCCTGATTATAGCTCTTAAGTGAGGGAACTAATGAACTAATGCTACTGGGATTTTGAAAGTAGTGTTTTGTATATTGGTTTCTGAGAAATAATCTGCTGACCATTAAATGATATTTAGTCAAGAAGAATCAGACTTTACTGCACACATCAATAATTTGATCAGAAGAAAAGAGCCACTTCAAGGGAATCAAGTACCAGGTTTCCATTTCTCTCTTGCCAATCAAATAGAAATCCTCTTTGAGTTATGTAATTTTCAGTAAGACAATTGGGTCCAGTAATCTTGGCAGCACTATGATTCCTGACTGTAGGATAGATAATTCCACAGAAACATCACTCACACATCCATTCTGCAGTGTGCCCTAACTTCGGCCACATGGAGCTTCATTTTCTTTTCCTGCAATCCTCCCTAGCTGGACTCCCAATTCCAAATATTTTTTAAATATTTTGTAAAATCATCTTCTCAGCATTTCCTCTGCAAAACGGCTAATGTGTAGAAAAGATTGCCACCTGAAAACCAGAGAAAATGTTCAAGCTGCAGGAAGGGGGCAGGGCAATGTCCTCGGTGAGTCTCCTTGTTTGACCCAGCTGCACTGGGTCTCAGCTGTCTGTGATTTGAGCAGCATGCATACTCGAGACTCTTCTTACATCATAAAGTGATAATAGTTTCTAAAGTAGGACAGAGTGACACAAGTAAGTAAGCCCAAGTGGCGGAAAACATACTGAAGCTGGGCATGGTGACAAGTGCCTTTGATTCTAGCACTCAGAGGCTGAGGCAGGCAGATCTCTGTGAGTTCGAGGCCAGCCTGGTCTATAAAATGAGTTCCAGGACAGCAGTACTGTTACACAGAAAACCCTGTCTCAATAAAATAAAATAAAATAAAATGATTGCAATAGGGAAATAAAAGACCAAAAGTTGGATATACACGTCAACATTGTATAGTCTGCCTTGCATTGCTTAACAAAATACCTGAGATAACATGATAAGGGAAAAGTTTTACTTGGACAGATCATTTCATAGTCGAGCCCATTGTCACTTGTCCCTATTGCACTGGGCCTTTGGTGAATAGTTAAGAGTGGAAGCAAATGGCAGAGGAGGTTGTTCAGCTTCAGGGGCATGATTTCAGTGATGTAGGCTCCCTTCCTCTACACCTTCAGGCCACCTAAAGGCTCCACCCCACCCCAAACAGCACCACAAGCCGAACACCAAGCTGTCCTGACACAGGGCTTTGGAGAAACTTACCATAAAATCTATCACCATGTTATTATGACCAATGCTATCATTCTGTTTTGTTTTGTTGTGATCTTTGAGATAGAACCTCACTATACAGCCCTGCCTATCCTAGGCTTCACTATGTAGGCCAGGCTGACTTCAAATTTGCAGCAGTCTTTCTGCCTGTGCCCAGACTGCTGATGTTCCAGGCATGAGCTACTAGACCTATAGCTGTTGGTTTTCTTCTGCGTGTAGGAAAGTTTAAATATAAATGAGGTATTGCTGGATCTGAAAATTTTCAATTAGTTTTTTTTTTCAATTAGCTTTTTAAAACTAGACAATCCCCAGTTCAGATACAGTCAGCATGGCTCTGGAATGTATTATTACTTTTCTCATTTAAAAATAGATTCAAATTGAGTCCCTAGCATCCGAGTATTTTCTATCTGACACAGTCTTTAGGAAGGGATTCCCTTTGGTTAACTGGGGGATAGGACTGTATTTGCAGTTTTCAGGATACTTTCCTCAATAAATCTGCTTGCATGTCCTTGGGTGTATAAATGGGGGAAGAGGAGACCTAAGAGGTACCATGTCTTACTTGCAAAACCTTGTAAATCAAAAGTTAAAACAAGGAGGCATTAGGGGCAGAGTATATTGTCCTGGACATTGCTGAATGAGAATCAACAAAGCTGTTGACACGGACCTGGTTTCCCTTCTGCTGTGAACTAAGGTCTAAACTCAATGACAGCCATTGTGTCTCATAGAAAAAGAGCTGTCTGAATTTTCAAGTCTATGTCTTCTTCATAACAGAAGTTACTATCCCAATAGGAAAGCACATAGTTTGCTTTTACATTGGTGAAGCAATAGTATCTGTGTGTGTCTAGAGTGAGGAATACCTGGATTTTAGTAGGTGCTTCGTGTATATGCACAAGACATATAAATCTTAGAAATCCAAGTACTACTGATCTCTACCCCCACTCCTCAGTAGACACACATTAAATAATAACTACTACATCTTAGAAATAGCTTTTCTGAAGTCTTTTAAAATTTGTTTTTTAGTACCTTGTTTAAGAAAGAGCTTTAAACATTTTAGGAAGAAATTAGCCTTTCAGGAAAGTTTTTTAAAGTTTTGTCCAAAAATAGAGGTCCATACACAAAAAGTTATAAAGCTATCCACAAAGAATTGTACTTGCAGGAAATAAAGAAGAGAATCAAATATGCTATGAGAAACAAGAGGATGAGGCTTGTCAATAAGGGATAAAAAGATAGATAGATAGATAGATAGATAGATAGATAGATAGATAGATAGATAGATAGATGCATGACTGGATAGGTGGGTGGGTAGATGGGTTGATAGATGGATGATGGATGGATGGATTATGGGTGGATGGATGCATGATGGGTAGATGGGTAGGTGAATGGGTGGATGAATGACGCACAGACAGACTGTATCTTAGTTGGCTTATGCTGCTCTAATTAAATGCCAGAGAGTGATAAGTTTATAAAGAACAAAAATTATTCTCACAATGTGGGGGTCTGAAACTTCAGCCTCAAGGCACTCACAATGGTGTCTGACAAGGGCCTCTTCTCTACGTCTAAGATAGAGCCTTGTTCCAGTCTCTCCCTGCTGTGTTATCATATGAAACACAATACAGTGGTGGACATGTTTTTCACAGAAATTTCCCAAAGGACCCACTTCTTATTATCACCGCAAGAAGATAAATGTCTACATGTGGGTTTGGGAGGAGTTTTATATCATGGCCAATAGAAGAATGAATAAACAGATAGGTAGATAGATGATAGATAGACAGATAGATAGATAGATAGATAGATACATAGATACATAGATACATAGATACATAGATAGATACATAGATAGATACATAGATAGATACATAGATAGATGCAGGAGATAGGTCTTCAGATGTTGCTATGTGGTTTTCAAGTTAATGTTCCAGGATTTTCACTTTTCTTTCTTTTTGCTCATATTGTCTTCTTAAAAATAAAAACCTAAGGAAGAGGGCTTTCACTGTGTTGCCCATGTTAGCCCTGAATTCTTGAGCTGGAACAATCCTCCTGCTCTGGAATAGCTGCAATTCTAGGTGTGCACCACTCTACCTTTCTCAATTATATTACCCTTTGTTGTGAAAACAGTGCACATGTGCTCCAGTAGATTCTCCATCACCTTGACAGTGCTCAGGCTCTGCATCCTCTGCATCATGTCATCTGTACCCTTTGTGACTAAGACCTCATGAAGTGATTCACACAGATGCAATCTGTGGTTTGAATAGAAATGACATTTGGGACTTCCCTCATTAGCAGGTGCACTCTGTAGACAACCTTCCCTCTACTGCTGAACAACTGACAGCCATGGGGCCCTACTGAATGCTGCAACATCTTCAACAGCAGATGTTTTATTGATGTCTACTTGTGGGTCATAATTCATTGATTTAAGTCAGAATTTGATGTCATTTATCTTGTGTTTGCTTTCTGAAACAGTCTCACAGTGTAGCTCAGACTGGTTTAGAACACATTGTGTGGCTCAGGTTTGCTTAGGACTCACAGTAGTCATCCAGCTCCAGCCTCCTAAATACTAGAATTCCAGGCATGTGCCTGACTTTACATCAATCTTTAAATGTGTCCAGGTGGTGGCGGCTCACATCTCAGCACTGGGAAGGCAAAGACAGGTGGATTTCTGTGAGTTCAAGGCCAGCCTGGTCTACAGATTATAGAGAGAGCTGCAGGACAGCCAGGACAGTTACACAGAGAAACCCTGTCTCAAAAAACAAACCAAGTAAACAAACAAAAAAAATTAAAAGTGAAACAAGACAAGAGTCCTTTCACCAGTAACATCATGTTTAAAAGTTAGTATGTTTGGCTTTCTTTTTGCTGTGTATTTAAAAAAAAAAAAAAAAAAAAAAAAAAAAAAAAAGATTGACTTTCTGCATCTTGTTATCAAACTCCAAAGGCAATCCTCACCTTGCCTTATGTGAGTTCAAGGAACCTGTACTCATTCATCAATGATAACTCATTTTCATTTTCACAACCACTATATGGACTTAAGGAGACTTCAAGGGAAAACATTTTATGTCTGAGATTAGAGTTGTTCAAATTTAAAATTAATAAAAGTTGCCATGGTTTCCAACTTGAATATTTTGCAATGCCTTTTGAGCCACTTACTCCAAATGAGTAGAGTATAATTTAAGATACTGTGGTGACTGTGGCAGTGTGTGTGACTTAGGTCATACTGATTTACAATTATTCCTACATCTAACACTCAGGTAGGCAAGCTTGTCTGTTAACTTTATATCAACACTGAGAAGTATATTCTGGAACTTTCCCTAGAGGTCATGCCATGTTATTCCAACTTCCACTGTCTGGAAGGTTGCCAATGAAAAGACGCTCAAAAGCCCCAGTGTTCTCCTGTCACAGAGAAGCCCTATTCTGATGGCCTTCTACACAGTGTGGAATCCTTGAGCTGAAGCCTCTGCTATCTCTTCAATCTGTCCTGGCAGTGACCCAGATTAAGGTCAAGATGTCCTAATGTCACCCAGGCGTGATTCTCTGCCAGCCTTTGCTCTCATTCCACCCTCTCCAAAGGTGATGTCATTTGGGCACATGCCACAGAACATAAAGGCTGGTACATGTTTCATATCTG